TGAATAGTACGAGCCGAGCCGAGCCGACGATTGACATCCCTACTCTACCATAATCAGCATCAGTAAAGCCCTTAAATTTCGCACCATTAGAAACAACTTTATAAACTAACCCAACATTACAGGTACCTTTCAAATACCTAAGCAACCACTTCAAAACTTTCCAATGGGCAGGACCTTGATTAGACATGTATATGCTCAAGGTTCAAACAGCAAAGGCCAAATCTGAGCTAGTACGCACCATCAAATGCATTCAAATAAGAAATTTTGCTAATATATGTTATTTCTTTTTCATTAGCAGGTAATTGTTCTTTAAACAAAATAAAATAATTTTCAAGAAGCATTTACAATTAATTAATCATACCAAACTTTTTCAACACTTCAAGCACATATGGAGTTTGATGTACATATAAGCAAGAATTATGCTTCTCTCTATCAATTTCCTTGCCAAGTATCCTTTTAACATGTCCAAGGTCTTTCATATCAAGTTCTTTGCTTAACTCACATTTAATCTTGTTTATGACTTTAATGTCAGAACCAATCAATAAAATGTTATCCGCATAGAGTAGCAAATACAAACTCGCTCATCTTGAAACCAATTGAATATGAATCAAACTTCTTATACTGCTGTCTAGGAGACTATTTTAACCCATATAGAGATTTCTTAATATTTTTTATTCATTGATATTGATATTTATGTTCCCTATTTTTCATCACGCAGAATGCACAATTTTTTCCCCCCAAAAGTCTCTTCTTTGTGCATTTATTTTTGTAGATCAGTTGATCCAATCGATCGAGTTGACCTTAATAATAAGGTTACGTTTAGCATTTTTATGCTTCGTTGAATCTTTCAAACGAAAAATTATAAATAAGATAATTTTCATTTTGAAGTGAAAATACTAAAGAACAAACAAGTCCCATGTAAAAATCGATTAATTTACAGCTAAAAACTGAAAAAGCAAGAAGATCAAGATACAAAAACCAACTAATCCTTTTTTTAAGTGCACGTAATTTGATGCAACCGTGTTGAATAAGTGTGAACGTTAGCTAGCTATGTGACAACATTTTGATTATTTGATTACTTTTCTTGGCTATCTTTGAAGAGTACATGTGAGTCACAACTATTTTTATAGCCGTTGATTATCCTCCATTGATCAGCAATATCTCCGGCGATGTTTATTGCATCGGACGAGGTTCCGATGAGACCTCTTTGTGTGAATCCGACTGCATATAATCCATTCTCTCCTCTCCAACCATTAGGAAAAGCTGTTTTTGGCATGCCATCCTTGGTGAAAAAATCAGTACCCTACATGCCAACATGCACAAGTTATAGACCATACGTTGCAAAATTGTTGAAATAGCTTAAATTCTGAGAAGAAGTTGTTCAATGTAGTATTAGAGAACACAAAAGTATTAAAGTCTAGCAATCACCCATTTGTTATAATCGTGCATGTGTTAAAACTTCTTTCAAGGAATGGGCAAATCGAGCAATTTCTCAATAACAATAGCTAAAGGATCTGATACCACCACTTGGATTTGAAACCTACATGATGATGCTCACGATTTCAGTGTTACATTTATTTCTTTACATGTACGAAATATTACATCTCTAACTACTTATAAATTTTCTACGAAATATTACATCTCTAACTACTTATAAATTTTCTAGGGGCATATTTGATACTGCTTATTTGATCACAACAACGATAACGTTCACCAATATGAGCATACCGATGATTGCTGGCTAGACTTTCATTTAAAAAAAATGAATCTAACTTGCGTGAAAGGGGTCACAAAGGGACATGTAGCTGGTTCAATGGAAAGAACTTGTACGTTTACATTATGGCTCTAGAAAACAACAAAGAGAACAGATTTATGCATGCTATTTGCAAAATAGAATATAATCTTTTTATGATAGTAACAATTCAAAGAATCGAGCAGAAACTATCCTTAAAAACTTTGGAATAAATCCGAACAAATGCTATCAGATTTTCTCTTTTTTGTAACAGTCTAAGAATCGTCTTGGAGCCCAGAATGGGTAAGGCAGAAAGCGATATAAGACTGAGAATAAGATAAAACTTAAAACTGAAAAAGTTAAAAAATGCATGGATTTGTCAATTTTTCATGCATTACGTACCATAAGCCAATTGGAGACATTGCTTTTGTACCCCGTAGCTAAGATTATAGAATCAAATTCCTTTTCTTGTCCATCCTTGAACTTGGCTCCATTCTTCGTTATCTCTGTCACCCCTCCCGTTACCTGCAACACGAGTCGTCAGTCTGTTATTCCTGGCTTACCTTAGATCGTGTAACTTTTTCAAGAATGTAACTTTTGAATATTTTTGCATAAACCTTAATTTTCCCAGATTTAATTTGTGATAATGCTCCAACGTCGAGCACTGGTGTCTTTCCGGTGGCATTTTTTAGCTCAATTGGCCCCATTTTTGGCCGCCGGAGGCCTAATTGATCCGTTCTTCCCAAGGTGAAGTTGGCCAGCATTAAGAGGAACTTGTCCACTAATCTATAAGGGAGCCATTTCAGAAGTACCATGGCAATTGCAAAAGTAGAAATTCCAAATACTTCCCTTGGTAGAATATGAATCTGAGTCACCAAAAACGTATTAGCAACTAGATTACAAAAAAATATATGACAACAAGAAGTTTTGAGTTGGTCTTCAACATCGTTTCGAAGCATACAACGGTCTTGAAATCGAGTATCACTTTCACTCATATATCGATAAGGTAGTTCGACAAGAATACATGGATAAAAGTACAAGATGATTTTCGCACACGTCCTCCCAATGTGAAAGGTTTATTGAATAGTACTAGACAATTTGGAGAGTTAAAATTTAGTATATACTTCTGAATTTGAAATCTTGATTCATCATGACATGAGAAAATTCACTTACAGAATTTCTGACCACCATGTGAGGAGTTGTATTGTATCTACAGAGGTCTAAACTCACTTCCAAACCAGAATTCCCACACCCCACAACCAAAACCTGTTGGTTTCGAAACTCAGAACCAGATTTGTACTCACTGGTATGAATCACAGGCCGTTGAAAATTCTCAATTCCTAAAATTTCTGGCACAAATGGCTCGGCATTTTCGCCCGTTGCAA